CGTCAGTAAGTTTTTTCATCTTTTCACGGTGTATAATTTACCTTTTCATCATTACTGTGACAAAATTACATAATTGTGATTTATTGTTTACACTATGATTACCCCAACACAATGTGGGATTAACTCTATAGCTCTCTGAACAATGCTCTCTCTGCTCTGATTGGTTCTTCTGGTCCTAATTGGCTGATGCAGTAGTGCTATTAGCTTTTGCTTATTATTTGACTTCAATAGAAGAGCAAAGTTAATGAAAAAATAGTTGAATAGTGGTAATGTGGTCTCGCATTAACATATCCTGTTCTTGATAATGAAATGACTAATTAATACCTTTTCTAAGAAAATCTTAATACCTTTTTAAAGCAATTTATTGTCATAATTTTCTTTGATCTCCATTCTAGAACATACTTGAAGCATTAGATAAGAAGTTTGGCAAACCAAATACATATTTAACCAAATTTTGGTCATTTTGTTTGCAAACAAGAAAATACAGTTTCAAAACGTTTTTCTTTTAAGGCTGTAGCTCTTTTCCCATTTTCTTTTGCTCCAACACTTCAGTTATATCTGTTATACAGGGTCTCTCTTTCAGCTATCAATTACTATACTAACAAGTAGCTATTCATTATTTATCGTTGGGGGAGGGGGGTATGGGTGTCACTGAGGGAATAGTAAAAATATTTGTGAAGCCCTCCCACTAAATATATATATATTTAAATGAAAATTCATGAAGGCCCTCATTTTCTCACCATACCTTCCCCCTTCCCACATGAAGAACCGTCCCTAATGTTGTAATATGGCAAGTGATTTAATTATTACCATAACCCATAAATGTGTGCAAACATATTATTTTGCTAAGAAATGATACTTTTGCATGAATAGGTATTACCTGAAGTTCTTCATGAAGTGCAATCAGAACTGTCTCAAGAATGCTGGCAATCCACGGGACATGCGGCGATTTCAGGTGTGACCATCAACTACATAACAGAATGACATTTAATTACATTAGTTTTTTTTTTTTTTTTGAGTAATTTGGATAAATGAGGTCAAAAGCAGGACTATCCTGCTATAGCTTTAGCTACTATAATTTTTTTACAAAGCTATATGGCCCTAAGTTAATTTTCTGAAACAGCAAATATTATCATTTGTCATTCTGCTTTAGTAGAAACTTTTCTTTTTCATATTTCGTAAAAAAGCTTGATAAGAATGCATATTTTTATTGTGGAAAAGAGCTCTTTAATTTTCTCAATAACTTCTACTACTAAAAGCACATCTTAAAAATCCCTTTTTATAGGATACACAAAAACTTACATCTTTAAAGGAAGACATTTTTTTGACACAGTGCTCACATTTGTTTTGCTGATCTCATTTTTTAGCTTTCTGGTGGCTAACTTTATATAAATAAGTATAGCAAACTCTTACATATATACCTACTTCTACCCTTTTGGCAGAATCTGCCCCTGTAGTCCTTCTCCTGAATGAAAGAAAAAAATATTTCTTTCGCTTATTGGAAAGATTAAAGGAAGACTCCCTAACGTATCCCTATCCCCATTTATATATCAATTTTGCATTTACAGGTTCATGTTTCTACATTACTGGACCACCACTCTGGGATGTTGGCATGCTCAGATAATATGTTCGTACACAATAACTCAAAGCATGGCAGAAGATCTCGTCAACTCGACTCAGATGGATTATTGTCATGTATGTCTTAATTTGAATGTGTAAATATACAGTATATTCCCTACACTGACATGATTCTTTTAAAAGTGAAGGAACTGTCTGTGAATGGTTTTCAATCATTCCCTCCTTGAACTTTAAAGTTCAGAGAAAGCCTTGTCTAGCTTGCTTTAACCTTCTCAGCTTTTTCTAATAATCACCAAATTATCAAGTCTCGGCTAGTTCTCTTCAGTCTTATACACACTATTCTACTATACTTTTAAATCCAAGTCCCCACTTTCTATGGCGCTGCTTAGCTAGTCCTCATTATAATCTTAAGATACCTAAGACATTGAATTTAGCCTTTTTGGCAAAATTGCTTATTATTTTTCTTCCAGTACCCTGTATAAAAGCAATCTGTCCAAATGAGGGTTGGACGACAGGAGGCACCAATGTAGTTGTCATTGGTGACAATTTCTTTGATGGTCTACAAGTTGTCTTTGGTTCCCTGATAGTCTGGAGTGAGGTGAGTTCTCAATCACTTTCATTGGAAATCCATGAATCCATTAATGTCTTTTAAACTCTCCAATCTTGCCCCAGGCTCCACAGCTCTCATGTGACACCACTACCGGGGGGGAAGGAGGGNGGGGGGGGGGGGAGATAGCCCCTGACTCATTTTCCATTCTACATCTGGTCACAAAATCCATTAATGTTTAAGCCACATATGGTTTCCTGTTATGTTTCAGCTCATTACCCCTAATGCAATCAGAGTACAAGCCCCTCRCCGCCCAATTTCAGGTGTGGTTGATGTAACACTCATGTACAGAAACAAGCAATATTGTAGAGGAGGTGCAGCTGGAAAATTCTGTTATACAGGTATATATTTCCTGTAGTCCAATCAGATTGTAGGATTTGTTAAAGACAACAAGATGCCTGCACTTCTAGAAGTCAACGTATATCATATAAGCTTAGTTTAACTTTGAGGGAACTGTGAAGGGAATTATTGGCTGACATATTTTTAATTCGAAGTATGAAATATAAACCTTAGAAACATATGTCTGACTAAAAAAAATAGAGACGATTTAATCTTCAAAGTGGAAAAAGTCTATTCTCCCAGAATAAAGCTATGAATTTATTAAAAAACTTAAAAGAAACAACGAAAATGCCCACTCTTTGCAAAGAAAAAGTAAGACTTTTGTTATTATAATCAATAAGCTTACCTGCATATTTAACACTAACGTTTTGTACCTTTGTCCTTTAGCCTTGTGTGAGCCTACGATTGATTATGGATTCCAAAGACTTGTAAAAGTAATCCCTCGTCATCCTGGTGATCCAGAAAGGATACCCAAGGTTAGATCGCTTAACGTCTTATATATCTACTAGTATTGGAATATTCAACTTTATGCTCAACGCTGTTGCGAAAATTGCTATCTGGTATAGTATGATTCTTTCAGGCCGGTTGCGCGCGCAAAAATTATGACGTCATTGGTTTATTCAATTCGGTCCAACCTTCCCATTTTCCCTTTTATTTTCATTTTTTTCAATCATTGACTTTATTTCTTTCTTGTCTGGTTATGTGATATAAGGTTTTTTTTGGTTTTCCAATCAATTCTTTCGATTTAAATGTTCGTATTATGAAGTTCGTGTAAAAAATGGTGGTTGCATAAAGTTGTGTCGCTTGGAATCAGTGGCTTCGGTAAGCGATCACAAAAATCAAATGATTCCTATAATTCAACACGGGTTGGGTTCGTCATATATAATTTCAACTTTTTATTGTTATTTCTTAACAGGAAATTGTCCTTAAGAGAGCGGCAGATTTAGTAGAGACCTTCATACAATATCAAATGCCCCGTACCGCCGCACCGTACTCGGGTACCGTGCTATCAACCCCCAAATCCCCTGCATTGGTCGGAGGCCAACATTACGTAACTATGTACCAAGATGGCATGTCTAACGGGTACAACCAGATAGAAAACCAGTTAGTCGCCTACTCGAATATAGAGAATACACACGGCAATGAAGACAACCAAAATCCCCACCAACATCAAAATACACACCCAAGTAGTCATCAAGAAGGACCCACCAGCTCACCCCAAACAGACGTCAACAACAACACTGTGGAGATGCCTTCCAGCTGTTCAAGTATCCCAACACGAATCGTTTCAACCGTCTCTATACCTAATATCGGTAATCAGAACATTGAACCTCAGCAGCCTATCCACTCCTCCGAGACTCAGACCTCAAATAATGCGGTGGTTTCTATGACGACCGTTCCAAACAGTTCCAATGGTTACCATAGCAATATACCTATAACAGCTCTACATAACATGAGCGTTCCTGCATCACCAGGCTTCTTTACCACCAACGGAACATGTGAGTAAATATTCTTCACCTATCTTTTATTTTACTGTATTTTTTGAATGAAAAATAAAAATTGAAGATTTTTTCCCCGATTTTATTTTCACCTTTCAGTTTTATCTAAATTGGGCTCCCTGTGCCTATTGGGAGCTTCGCTTTTAGACAGTGCCTAAATTTATTGTAATCTTTTTATTTTGTAGTTATTTCCCAGTCGCCATCGTTACCGCCAACGCCCAACAGTGTCCCACCGAATGGTAACCCGGGAATTTTCACGTTTCCATCAAATATGATTCAGACCATCAAGCAGAAGAGTGCTTTTAACCCGGTTTCAAGAGCGCAAATGATTTCCGAAGTTCATAATAATGAAATATCAAGTAGCCCTATTATTGTCCAAGGTAAGGCAGAGTGCCGACTTTTTGCAAAATTGTACTAAAATGTTAAGTTGTCCTCCTTGAACCATGCATTCAATTACTTGGAGGTTTCAGTTTTTAAAACTGAAGTTGACAGGGAAAGGGACCAAATTTGTTTATATATCTACCAATGTTCTACATGAATGGTTTCTACTATGATTCGAGGCCTTTCTGAGGGTTCACTAAGTTTAAAGTTAGCTCTCTTAACAGCAATAAGAAAAGCTTCAATCAAGTTAGAAAAATGATATTTTACTTGTATTTAGAGAACTAACTAAATAAACCAAGTAAATAGTTCATTTAAAGTCAGTACATATGTACGGAAATCCGAGAACAATGTCCGAACTTTTTGGTGACCGTATCACAATCCAACACAATTTATACCACGTGACGGCTAGCGCCGAAAAGGTGAATTTGATCTTTGAGTTAGCCGCGCCCCGACTTTAATCAGCCTAATTAAAGGTTGTTTTGCAGAGTTCGACTAAAATGTGAACGCTGAATAGAGAATGGCTTTCTAATCTTGAGCTTCCTTTTCAGGTGTGGTCTCTTCACAGTATGGAAGCAACTTCGCCATACCATCAACTGCTTATGTTAATGCATCATCGAAATCCTAAGACAAGAGAACAACAAATGTATTTAACATGGATCCATGTGTTTTATATTTTTGCTGCATCGCAGAGCAATGGCTACTTCACATCAAAGGTTGAGATTTTATTTTATTCAAACCATCTGGACCACAAATGCCTCAGGCGCATTCGTACTCGAATATAGAATATACATTCTTCCTAGTCATACATCTGACAACACGCATTATTCAAATTGATTTGCGCGCCACGCATCACCGCAAAGAAGTTTGGATAATAAACAGATCCTCCTGATTGACTAGGTAAAATAGTTTTCTATGGACAATCTTTTTATTGAAAAAAGACAAATTTGCGCGATCAGAGCAAAACTACACAGCAAGAGAAAACTAATCTGAAAATATTATAATTTGCTGAAATTGAATAATTTATTATTATTATTATTATTATTTAGTGTTGAATTGGGTGATATCGACTGAAGACAGTCAAAATAATATATAAAATGTACACATTCTGCAAATGGTTGTTATGGTGTTCAGAGAACGGTATTTTTTAATATGTTGTTGAGTTTTGATGACGTGTGCATGTACAAAGGATGGGAGAAAGAAAGAATGCAGGAAAGAAAGGAAGGAAGAAAGGAAGCAAGAAAGAAAGAAA